TAGGAGATGAGTACCTTTTTGCATGAAAGTGCTGCAGCCACTTTATACAGGTTTGCCTCCAAGTCACAAAAAGAATTTGACACACCCATGTTTTAAGTGTAGCGGAAGTGTCCTATGGATGGAGTTCTTATTGGTTTTCTTAATGGCGCCAGAACCTAACCTTGTACAATAGACCTACATTGTTGAAGAGATGAGTGAGAAACTTCCGTTGTTATCATCAGCTCATATTGCGAGAATAACTAGAATCCCTGGTTGTCACGTATTATTCTACTAAGTTCCCCAATCACTAGCATAACACCTGCAACTAACCTAGCTTATTGTTAGCTGCATTGGCATTGGTTGCCATTTCACTCTGGATACTGTGGGGCACAACTTCTTGGATACTTTCAAATAATAATAGTTGTACAGAAGTTTTTTGGGCATATCTAGTCTAACCACCGATTGGTAAACAACGTTGGGTTTGGTAATGATGATCATGTTGATCTTTTGGAGGAGGTAAGCCATCTGTTCTTTTTCTGAGAAGCCATGGAAGAAAGAAAAATTCTTAAAGCTTACATCCTAAGAAAGATTATCACTTCTTAATATGATTCTTGAGAAAAGGGAGTCAACTAGCCAGAGAAGTGATATTATAGAAACGGAGTTTTCAAAAGAGAGAGAGATCTAGGAAGGAAAATCTTCAGGGAAAAAGGAAAAACCTAGCTTTGGCAGGAAAAAAAGGGAAAAAAGGAAAGGAGGTGTAAAAGTAAAAAGAAAGAATATATAGAAGAGAGGGGAAAGAATAGGAGAAGGGAAATAAAGAGATATGGGGAAGGGGCATAAAGAGAAGGGAAAAGGGAAGACAAAGAAAGAGTAAACAACTCAAAAATTTCCTAAAAAGGAAATTTTCAAGCACAGAAAGGGGAGTGGGAAAGAGTTTTTTTTAGAGAAACAAATTTTATTAAGATCTCAAAAGCAATTGAGATAGTAATTTATTGAGTAATTTAGTATTTTCTGTTATGGACAGAAATTTCCTTTAATGATTATAAATTATAATCTTAATACTAAAAGGAATATTTATATATAAATATATATATGCATATTCTGTTTAAATGCATAAAAGTCAAATTTAAAAATTCTATGACTATTAGATTTCTTACAATAAGAATTAATTTCAATAGTAATTTAAATTTTGAATTACGAAATAGATTTCTTCTCTATTATAAAGAAAAATTTTATTACGTGTATAATTAACATCTCTAATATTTTTATGATAATATATTTTTCAAATGAGTTTTTATTTGCTATATATCAATATAAACTTTTTGTACATTTGTTTTTCAATATGCCTTTCGGATTTTATGTATCGTCGTACTATTTATAATCAACCAAGTTCGCGATACGTGTTCGAAAAATGTCTGTCACGTCGCGTTCGCGACCAATCAGAATGCTTGATCAGATTGTCTATATAACGCGTCACGGTACTCAGTTTTCGTTTTTTAATAATCAAAGTTTCTTATAAAAACTTAAAGACCATGTCATCCATATCAGAATCATACAAATATGCCAGTATGTTGATTGCTTAATCTTTATTTTGATTTTACATGGTCTCACTATTATTATTTACTGCAGGTGAACAATATTTTAATTTTACACCTATGGAACACTGGTCGTATTCTGGATATCTTGAGGCGATGCAGTCATTTTTTAATCTGGATTTCGAAGTTAGTACATTAAAATCAATCTGGAGGAAAAGGTTTAATGATCACCTACGAGAGATTTCAAGAAATAAGAATGAGAAGAAATTTAGAATCGCTTCATTTCTCATTACTCAGGTAGTAAAAAAAAAAAGAATTAGATGTTAGTAGTATTACTAGTTGTATATGTATTACTGGGAGCATGTAGCGTCCCTGTTATTTCCTGGAGTTAGGTTTCGTCCTCAGTACAGTATACAGAGCATTTGTATGTGTAATTGTATCACTGGGAGCAGGTAGCCCCCCTGTTAACTTCTGGAGTTAGGTTTTGTCCTCGGTACAATGCATAGCAAGCTCTAATGATTTTTAAAGGATAGGAGTGTATATAAAAAGGTAAATATAAGAATATATAAACTAATTTGTATTTTCTCTACTTGAGAATTCAAAAGCGACAGAATTTTGGGAAAAATTCAAAAAGAAAAGAATGTTAGAGAGTCAGCAGGTAAATAATAAATATTATACACATTTCTATTATTAATTTATTTAATACAGTTGTATGTTATAAACAGAATAATACGAAAGTAGATATTCAAGAAGATGAATCGGTCAGTGAGATGGAAACTCCGAATGCTAGCAGCAATGAAGACAATGACCGTAACAGTATGGTAACAGATACGGAGATGGATTAAACATTGTTATTATTTTTTATTTGTGATGTGAAATAATAGTATGTATGGTATTTTACAGAAACGTCAAAGTGACGATTGCCTTGAACAACAAGAGGCAAAATCCCGTAAAACCGCGATTGAAATCCTTAGTGAAGTTTTTAATGATGATTCTTATAACTTCTATGAAGATAAAGAAAATAGTAATCCGAACAAAGATAGAGTAAATGAACATGAAAAGGTAGTAGTGTGATAAATTTATTGTACAATTTAGATTACTGAATTTCAATAATTTAATTTCACAGGAGGATGGCCATAGCCATGTTAAGAATCTTTTCAACGAGCTACAGCGTTGTTCTGACAAAATGACAAATTTGGTGCATAGTTTCCAAAGATACTGTGAAGAAAATATCAACGAGTTGTGTCTCAACGAAATAATGGATTTAAGTCCAACATCCGAATTTGTTATAATGTACACCGATGAAGATGACTACAATCAAGTTTTAAAGGAAATGTTTGAACCAATTGATAAGCTAATTCCCGAACAAGCAATTAATTTCTTGGATACCTTTTTTTCAGAGGTATATTTGTTATCAGTACATTATTTTTTTGTTCAATTTAGTATAACATTATTTATTATTTAGCGAAGCCATGACTATCAAAAATGGAGTAATAAGCTTGAAGATTTATTAGAACCCGAAAGTGACCCATTTCTAAAAAAGCTGAAGCGATTTCTATTTGAAACGTTGTCAATTTAGTATGTTTTATATATTATATATATATTTATTTATTTAAGCTTAATAAACTTATCAATATTATTTATTATTTAATTTTCAGTTTTGATGCTTATTCTTTATTGCATAACAATCCTCTTAAAAAAAACCATGACATGCTCGAAGATGAGTTTATGAACATTTACGTTCATCCTATACTAAAGAAGGCGTTATGGAGATTTTCGGGCATTTGTTATGAACCGTAAATATTTTATTTTATTTACTTGTTAATTACTAACAGCATTATAATATTGATATTAGGCGTTTTATTCTTTTAGAGGAAGTAAACCAATTCAGGCATCAGCCTACTGTGGAAACGCGGACTACTCAGATGGTATTGCATATACCACAGGCGAAAAGTCATATGAAATTTCGGTTACCGAAGGTTCCAGACCGTATGTTATTGATTATGCGAAAGAAACGTCTAATTACATCCGGAACGCGAGAGCGGGAAAGGACATGATAAACTTCGCCGTTATATCTGAGGTTAAACTAAAGCGTGCACCGCCATTACAATTAAGGGTTTTTATGGTTCAATGCATTGGCCTTAGTCTTAGGTTCTACTTCATGGATTACTTGGGTAAGTGTAAATAGATTGTTTTAAGAAATTATATATAAGTTATTAACTAACTTTTGCATTTCATAGGAGCATATCGACTTTTTGAAATAGAAAAATGTGAAATTCCAACGGATTTTACAGAAGTCAATTCATTTCCATCTTTTTTCAAGGCTATAATAACTTGGGCGGTATGCTAAAAACTTTTTTACCGTATTAACATTTAAGATAGGAAACAATGCTTTTATTAATTTTATTCATTATGTCTGTTTCAGTTGATGGTTGGTGAGGCTGATAAAAAATTTCAAATGGTGGATAATAGAAGCACGCGATACAGTTATGCACATAACCTCCGACTCCTTTCAAACCTAAATAATAAGCCGCGACCGGTTAATTCGAAAATCATCAAAAAAGAACCATCCGAATAAATTGTAGAAAGATCATAAAATAGAATGGTCGCTATTTTATCAATTTTAAAATCAAATATGAATTGCAGAGTAGTTTAAAAGAAAATGTAGTTGATGTAATGTATGAGATAATTGTTTTAATCAATTAATCATTGACATTTGCTTCGAGTTTGGAATCATAATTATTTTTTATATGTTAATACGCGAACATCGAAATTTTGACTGCGGAAACTCGGTTTTATTCAGTCAACCAGTATAAAGATCATTCGATTCAAATATACACCAGACATGGTCCGGCTACTATAAATGGTTGTCTTGCTAAAACATGTAAAAAAAAATTGAAGATTTATTTTATTAAAATTTATAATAATAGTAAAATATCGAGATACGTTGCTATAAAATTGATCGGTTACGTAAATACGTTATATTTAGAATAATTTTGATTTTTTTATTCAAATTTAATATATAAAAAAAATAATTTCCAAATAAAGAAAAATAAATTTCCAATAAAAAAATTGGAAATCATGAAAATAGATATAGAAATAATTTAATTTTTGGTGTTATACTTTGATATATTAAAAATTAAATTTCAAGAATTTCTTTTCTAGTTTTGGATTTTCGGATTTTATTATATAATACAGCTGAAGGTTTATTGAAAATTCGACAATCTAAAATCTTAATAAAATCAACACAAAATAATAATAATAATAAAATAATAATAATAAAAAAAAAATAACATTTATTTCCCTTCCCCTTGAAGGTTTTCTTTCTAGGCCTCTCTTTCTTTTACCGCTCCATTTCATCAACCCTCTGGTTTGT